AAGGCATCCTATCCTGCTTCTCCGTATCTTAGAGCCTTGACTTACAAAATTCCCTTACTTTCATCTCTCCTAGTTCCTCTTAGGCAAAGCACAGTCCATGAGCTTCCTCTCCCAGGAAGACTTCAAGACAGCAGGAGGGCCAGCCCAGGCTTTGGGTCTGAATCCGCATCCTGCCATTACTAGCTCTGTGACCTTTGTCAGTTAGTTTCCTTCTTAGAGCTGTTTTCTTCCTCTGTAAAACAGGAATCCTAATTCTCCCCTTGTGTTTGCCATGCAGATTAAATAATGTGTGGAAAATGCCTGACACACGGTAGGTGCATAGTTAAGTGCTAGTTTATTTTTATTCTGCTCAGCCACCCCCAAGCAGAAGGAATCTCTCTCCTTTACTCCCCCATCACTTCCTGTATTCCCCAGCCTTGATAACTTTCCACTTTGTTCTGTGGTTATTTGTGTAGCGTGGCTTAGTCTCCCCCTCTGCAAAGAATGCTCTCATTTCCCCCTACAGAACAGGCCAGCAGGCAGTGTGTGTTTGTGTCTACATGTATTCATGTCTACTTCCGTGTGCCTATGGATGTGTCTGTGATGTTATACTTATCCGTGTGTGTGTGTATGTGTGTGTGTGTTGTGTATGGGGGTAGTTTTCAGGTGATTGGCATGTCACTAAAGTGTTTTAGTGTTTAGGGGCTCTGGCTTGAGGGGTTCCACACCTCCAGATATCAGCAGTATGTATGATAGCAGGAGCAACCCTTCAAGCAATTTTCATTTTTTTGGCCAGTCTCTCCAATGGGAAGCTGCGCTGCCACCCCACGACTCCTGCCACTGTTCCCTTTGTAATCAAAATGGGGCTAGTTCTCAAGAGAGGAATTACCAAGGAGCAGAGAGCCCGGAGCAGCACAGGGCTGGGAGTAGGAGAGGCACTGAAATATCATTAGAGGGCAGTCTGATCTCTGAGTTTGCATTCTGGCCTTCTTAGTAGCTATGTATGACTGTGAGTTACAGTTATATCAACTCTACCTTTCTGCACTATGAAAGGGGCTAACAGTGGCTGTCGCAGGGGGGCAGAGATGGCTGCAGAGCCCTGCAGTACCATGAAGGAGGGGGCATGTCTGTAAGGTAACCTGTGTGAAGGAGGAAAGCTGGTGTGGAAGGACACACCTGAGCTAAATACTGAAGCGTGAGCAGAAGGTAGCCAGGTTTGGGTGTGGTATACAGCTCAGGCCAAGTAAGGAAGATGGAGGTTGTTCTATTGATGATAAGTTAGGTTCCATCCTTTCTGTGTTCATCTCAATCAGATCAAAAGCCAAAATCTTTATGATAGGATCAATGTCCCTTGTATTATTTTGTTTTTTGTTGCTATAATAAAACACAAAGCACAAGCAACTTGGGGAGAACAGGGTTTATTTCCTCGTAGACTTCCAGGCAACAGTCCATTATTGAGCGAAGTCAGAGCAGGACCGCGGGGCAGAAACCTGGAGGCAGGACCTGAAACAGAAACTGGCTTGCTGTCCATGGCTTGCTCTGCCTGCTCTCTTATACAGCCCAGGACCACCTGCCCAGGGTGGCACCATCCACAGTGTGCTAGGTTCTCCCACATCAGTCATCAACCAAGAAAATGCCCACATATATGCCCACACGCCAGTCTGATAAGGGCAAATCCTCAGCTGAAGCTCCCCGTTTCCAGGTGACTCTTTTCTTGTGTCAAGCTGACAAAAACTAAGTAGTACAATTCTCGCTGCCCATCTTAAATCTCTCATTACTGTCTTGTTCACTGTGTTCTGGCAACACTGTCTTTTTTGTTGATCTTTAAGCTTGTAGACATGTTGTACTGATTACTCTCTTGCCTAAGACAGTGACATAGCTCACTCCCTCATCTCCATCAGGGTTCTGCTTCTATGGCATTCCCTCTACCCTGGGCTTTCCTGGACACCACATCTAAAATAATACATTTGACTGGGTTTATGGCTCAGTGGAAAGGGTTTACTGGGCCTGCATAATTCGCTGAGTTCTATCCCTAGCTTGTCTCTGCTGTCTCTTTGTGTCTCTGTCTGTATCGCTCTCTTTCTCTTTTACACACACATGCTAACATGATTAAAACAGCACCTCTTTTTATTTTTAGTAGTTTGTTGAGACAGGGTTTCTCTGTGTAATAGTCCTGGATGTCCTGGAACTCGCGCTGTAGACCAGACTGACCTCGAACTCACAGAGATCCACCTCTGCCTCCCTAGTGCTGGGATTAAAGGTGTGCGCCACCACCACCCAGCAAAAGAGCACCTTTTTATACTCTGCTTTATTGTCCATCTTTAACACTTAGCTCTACTTGAAATGATAGAGATTTGCTTTTCCCTCCCTCCCTCTCTCCCTCCCTCCCTTCCTTTTGTCTGTCTTCCTCACTATAATATTACCATCCTGAAGAAATAATTTGATGGCTTTGCTTTTTAATTGATTTCCGGTGCTTAGTGCTGTGCACAACACGTGGAAAGTGCTTGGTTATTTTATTGAGTGAATTATAGGGAGCTGTGGCAGGGTTTGATGAGAAAGCAAGATGGGCTAATTTGTATGTTTCAACGTTCTCACTCTCCACAGGTTAGAGAAGAGATTTGCAAAGACTGGAGTGTGTGGTATAGATTGGAGTGAGAGTCTTATTGGAGCAGCCGCCAAGAGTACTCATTCACTGATTCCCTCATGCCAGAAACACCTTCTCTGGTCTAGGCCCCATACCCGTTGCCAGCCAGATAGGAATTTACCAGATTTTCTTCCTATGCTGAGAGTCGTGCACTCTTTGCCAAAGCTAATCTGTGCCAGCAGTCTGTGTCCCGTGCAAAGGTAGGGGCTCTGAGTGAGGTCAAGGTCAGTGGTCATTTCTGGCTGGTGGCAAGATGCAGGTGGCATCTCAGTAGATTCATAACTTGAATCTTAACAGAACTAGCATGTGGGGCATTTCTCAGATTGCACTAGCAGAAATGATGTGGATGGCCTTGGGAGTGGAAGATAGTATATGAGCAGTTTGGGAGGTAAGGGGCTGAGGAACATTTGAGAAAAACAGAATCTGGGCCTGGGTGGATTAGATGAGGGGTGGCTTACTGACTGAGAGCGTGAACAGCTGGGCGGTGGTGGTGCACGCCTTTGATCCCCACACATGGGAGGCAAAGGCAGGTGGATCTCTGTGAGTTCGAGGCCAGCATGGGCAACAGAAAATGTGAACTCTGAAGTCGTGCCACTTGGATTTGAATCCTGCTTGTATTGTTGGTAGCTATCCTCACCGGGCTTTGTTTTCTATATAAAATGAAGACAAATAACAACTTTATAGGATTGTAAGAAGGAACAACCATACTGAATATGAAGTGGTGAGAACCTAAATACTAAGTATTCTAGAAGCATTCATCGTCTGTTGAATCTTAGAGAGGGCTTCAATGCCAGAGTGATTGGGAATTGGACTACTAACTCATAGACAGTGAAAACCGCGGATGTTTTGTGGATAGAGGAGGTGGTCAAACAAAGCTGGGTTTGAAGTGTGTACTGGTAAGGGAGAGGTTTGAGAAGTTGGTGAGCGGGATCCTGCCATCCTGAGAGAGACAGGAGGAGTATCTATGATACTGGGTTGGGTCTGACTAGTGGAGGGTGGCATCAGGGGTCTCCGGGGTTTGAGAGGAAGGAGAACTTGGGGTGGAAAGCAGTCCTTGTTCTGACTAGTACTTGGGAGGGTGGAGAATGAACAGTGAGCGAGAGTTCCCACCAGGGCCGAGCCCAGCTCTGCTGCCCTGACCTGAAGCACAGGGAGCTGGCAGGCCCCAGACAGCTCAAGATCTTGTGCTGGTAGGTAACCAGTTCCACCTAGCCAACTTGCCCTAGCCTTGCACCCTGACCTCTGCCAAGAGAGGCTGAGGAGAGGCCCTTTAATCGTTTTACTAGCCAGGAGCTTCTACAGCCTATAATACTTTCCTCAGATTTAAAAAAAAAAAAAAAGATCATTCTTTTAGCCCAGCCACACCCATTCTCCCACAACCTCCTCCACCCCTCAGCCTTCCTGGTTCTCCCCACCTCTGCTCTTCATCATGCCCTGGAGCTCTGCCACCACCTGGGTTCCCTGGCAGCCTGGTTGCCATGGCACTGTGGGAGCAGGTCTGGCAGAACAACAGCTCTAGGTAACCCCAGCAGGCAAGACCTGGGACCCAGCTCCAGCCACCTTTCTGCTTGAGAACCCCCTGCCCTCCTCCCCCAGCTGAGCAGAGGAGGACATGAGGAGAAAAAGGAAGCTTCCCCGCAGGGCAGCTCTTTACCTGTGAGGATGCTGAATGGGAGGCACTTCCCACTGTGGCCCAGCCTGTGCCTTCACCCTGCCCTCTCACCAGCAGCAGCAGCAGAAGCAGCAGCAGCAGTAACAGCAGCAGTAACAGCAGCCGCAGCACCAGCAGCAGCCTGGGAACCCTGGGAACTGGCCAGGCCTGGACTCCAGGCTGCTAAGGGCAGGGGCAGGGCACAGGGGCAGGGCTGGGTGGGGGAGGAGATAACCTGGATGGGCAGGGTACAGGAATCATCAAAGAGGGCTGGAAGGGGGCTATATGTCAAGGAAACTGGTCTGGGGTAGTTCTGGGAAATCACTGCATGGGGTTAGGAGGGGCTAGAGCTGGGAGGAGAAGAGGTCTATGGAGGGGGCAACTAGGCCATCAGGAGAGGGAAGATTTGAGATTGGAGCTACTAGGGACAGGAGCGGGAGGAGACTAGGTGTAGGGTTGTGACTGGACCAAATTGTGAGGAGTGTGGTTAGGCCTGAGAACAAACTGAGAAAACCCCCTTGAGGGAGTGGTGTCTCAGAACGAAGTTATGGAGATGGGGCTCTAAAGGGAAGGAACTGAAGGTCTCTTAAATGTTCGGGTCCCTAGGTATCTAAGGAAATGGGAGAAGGTGGTCGTTGGGGCAAGATCTAGTGTACTTGCTCAGTTGGGCCTAGCAAGCCTCTCTCCTGTTGCCACATCCTGGCTCATTTTATCTCATACCCACAGTGTGGAGGGTGATACCCCAGGCAGTGACCTGAGCACAGCGGTTGATAGTCCTGGGAGCCAACCCCCCTACCGGCTGAGCCAACTACCCCCCACCAGCAGCCACATGGGAGGCCCCCCTGCTGGGGTGGGCCTTCCTTGGGCTCAGAGGGCACGCCTCCAGCCAGCCAGTGTCGCCCTGAGGAAGCAAGAGGAGGAAGAGATAAAGCGCTCCAAGGCCCTGTCAGACAGCTATGAACTCTCCACAGACCTGCAGGACAAGAAGGTGCAGAAGAGATGCTCCGGTTGAAAATGGGAGTGGGATACAGAGAGAGCTGAAGGAGGGGGGTTGGGGTGTGGTACTTGAGGGTGGTATTCAGGGAGGAACAGTAAGGTTGGGCCTGGAGAAGACTGGCTCCAGGACCTGTCATTCACATTCACTGCACATACACTGAGTCTTCTCTTCACTTAGCAGACATTATTGCGCTCCAATAATGGGGTCCAAAAGATGAATGCGACCTGCATCCAGCCTTCAAAGGCATGCAGTCTAAGTGGGGAGGCACACACGTAACTTGGCAATTTCACAGTGTGATGCAATACACTGTCTGGAGGGGCTGGGGTGGGGAGAAAAGGGAGGGAGGGAAGGGAAAACAGTATACAAGATTTCAGAAAAATAGAGCCTGGAAGGGCAGTTATCAACATGTTAATTATGACTATGCCTAGATGTTTGGGCTGCAGGTGAACCCTCCCTCACGCCCTCCTGTCTTTCCTTCCCTCCTGCTTTTCTCTTACTCTGATTCTCTTTCTTCTTTCTTCACCGTCCTACCCTTCATTTATTGTTTCCTTTCTTTCATTTTTTTGGTTTCTCTAAGCTTTTTCTGATTTCAAATAATATACATTTCTTTTTTTCCCTGTGATTACATACACCTTGGGATTATAAGTGAGAAAAGACTGGGCGCACAGCCTGTCATGACTTCTTCCAGCAGTTAGTTGTGACTTGAGCGGGGTATGGTTGAGAACCAAGGCCACGAGGCTCTGGCAACTTTCTGAACTTGTTCCTCTGACAGGTGGAAATGCTGGAGAGGAAGTATGGGGGCTCCTTCCTGAGCCGCAGGGCTGCCAGGACCATCCAGACAGCTTTTCGCCAGTATCGTATGAATAAGAACTTTGAGCGGCTGCGCAGCTCAGCTTCAGAGAGCCGCATGTCCCGCCGCATCATCTTGTCCAACATGCGGATGCAGTTCTCTTTTGAGGAGTACGAAAAAGCACAGAACCCTGCATACTTCGAGGGCAAGCCTGCCTCACTGGACGAGGGTGCCATGGCTGGTGCCCGGAGCCACCGGCTTGACCGGGGTCTCCCCTATGGAGGCTCCTGTGGTGGGGGCATCGATGGTGGTGGAAGTTCAGTCACCACATCTGGAGAGTTTTCTAATGACATCACAGAGCTCGAGGACTCCTTCTCCAAACAGGTCAGGAGCCCTGAAAGGGGCCTTTCTTCTCCATTCCCAGGCTCTGGCTGCTTCTCCTACTTCTTTATCTATTTTCCAAACTGCAAGAATTTGCACTACTGAGCACTTAATAGCAACAAACAGCAGCGATTTTAATTGAGACTTTGAGAATGGTGAGAGAGAATTGTTAACATGAGAAAAAATTACAGCTGAGTGTTTACCTGTAATTGAAGCATTGGCAGAACTGAGGCAGGAGGACTAGGAGCACCTATGTTAAAAAAAAAACACACACACACAAAAAAAAAACCCTAAGGTAGTGATGTAATTCAGTAGTAGGAGCACTTATCTGGCATGTCCCAGGTCCTGTGTTTCATCTCCAGTACTGTTAGGGAAAAAAAATTATGCTGCTAAAACAAGCATGTTAGGATATGGGTTCCAATAAGATGGCTCAGCGGGTGAAAGCGCTTGCTGCCAAGCTTGCTGCCCTAAATTTGGTCTCCAGAACCCCTACTGTGGAAGGAGAGAACAGATCGTTTATTTTGATTATTTTTATGTTTGTGTATCTGTCGTGTGTGCCAGGTGTGTACAGTTGCCCAAGGAGGCTAACAAAGAATGTCAGGTTCCCTGGAGCTAGAGTTAAAGACGGTTATGAGGTATCTGGCATGGGTACTGGGAACCAAATTCCAGTCTTCTGCAAGAGCAGGTATATATTCTCAATCACTGAGCCATTTCTCCAGTCCATAAAAACGGATTTATAAAAAGATTTATTTATTTTCCTTTATATGTTTGGGTGTTTTGCCTACATGTATGTATGTGTACCATGTGCACACCTGATACCTGTCGCATTCAAAAGAGGGTGTCTGTGATCCCATGAAACTGGAATTATGAATGATAGTGAGCCACCCACCCATGGGTACTGGGAACTGAACTTGGGTCCTGTAAAAGACTAATGAGTGCTCCTAACTGTTGTGCTGCCAGTTTTATATCAACTTGACAGATAGAGTCATTTCAGAAGACGAAACCTTAGTTGAGAAAATGCCCATATCAGATTGGTCCGTGGGACCACCATGGCACCCTCGTCCAGTGAGGCATTTCCTTGATTGATGAGTGGTATTGGAGGGCCCAGCTAACTGTGGGCTGTGCCACCCCTGGGCTGGTGGTCCTAGATACTATAAAAAAGCAGGTTGAGCCAGGAGGTGGTGGCGCATGCCTTTAATCCCAGCACTCAGGAGGCAGAGGCAGGCGGAACTCCGAGTTCAAGGCCAGCCTGGTCTACAGAGTGAGATCCAGGACAGCCAGGGCTACACAGAGATACCCTGTCTTGAAAAGCTAAACCAAACCAAATAAATGAACGAAAGAAAGAAAGAAAGAAAGAAAGAAAGAAAGAAAGAAAGAAAGAGAGAGAGAAATCTGAGCCAGTCATGGGGAGCAAGCCAGTAAGCAGCACTCCTCCGTGGCTTTTACATTAGCTCCTGCCTCGAGTTTCTGGTCTGACTTCCATGGATGATGGACACAAAGTAAAATGAAATAAACCCTTTCCTCCACAAGTTGCTTTTGCTCATAGTTTTATCACAGCAATAGAAACCCTAACTAAAATAGAAATTGGTACAAGGTTCATGGGATATTGCTGTGACAAACGTGACCATATTTTCGGGAGGATTGTGGAAGGACTTTGAAACTTTGGGCTAGAAAAGTAATAACAGATGAGCCAGCGCTCTCTCCAGCCCTAAGAAATGATTCTTGAAAGTTTTCCTCTCACCTGCACGTATGCACATGTGCATGTACATGTGCACACGCACACACACACACACTCACACACCTTAAGTGCAATAAAGCAATAAAAATGAGTATATAGAACAAATAAGAAAACAAAAGGTTCCCACTGTTTGAAATTCGATATAATAGCAAATAAAGGATTTACTGACAGATAGTACCTGCTCGATGCCGGGTACTCTGTATACTTCACAACAGATCTGTAAGGTAGAGGACACTAGGCTGAGACTTGAACTCTGGTCCATATTTTCCAGGATCTTCCAGTCTGGTAGACAGTAGAAGACATATAGGTGCATGGTCATCTCCTAAAACAGAATGTGTTCAGAACCAGCAGGGATTCTGGGAGGCCCAGAGAAGTTTCTTGGAGAAAACAGCATTGTAACTAGGCCTGACAGGACTGAAAAGATGTAGCTAGTTAGAGATGTTGAAGGGGGCATTGTTTGCTCAGGTATTGATTGCATCAGCAAAAACCACGGAGCTAGGAATGGGCATGGCAGTGAGTGGAATGGGAGGTCGTTCTAAGCTGAGGGTATTTTAGCATGGCTTCCCGGGAGAAAATCCCAGTTGTGCCAATTCCCAGCTGTATGACCTCAGGCAAACAGTTTTACCTTCTGAGCAACAAAAAGGAGATAACGCTTTCTTTTTAGTGCTGTTTTAGAGCTGTGGTGAAGAATGCATCTCAACCAGGTACCACAGGGAAAGCACCTGGCATGTGGTAACTGCTAAGTTGTTTTTTGTTTTTCTCCTAAAACTGAGGAGGTGCTTGGTTGAAATTGTTGAGTGAATGAAGCTTTATAAAAGAAATCCCTGTGACCTAAACTCTGTTATCTGACCCTATCATTAGCCTGTGCATGCTTCTCTGAGGCTAGCGAACGGACGGAGGGACGGAAAGAAGCACGAAGGGAAGAGCTGTATCACCCTCCCATTCATTTCTATGATAATGAAGCACCTCTTCTGTGTCGAGCAGTAGCTGATCTAAAATAGAAACTCAGCTTGCACCTATTCCTCAAGGGGAGAATAGAGAACAGGAGAATCCCACCTGATGGAAGATGCAGAAGAACCAGGCCTAATCCTAGCACTCCATGCTGTCTACATCAGGGGTGGGGAAAATGTATTACTTACCTATCTGTACAGTGAACTACCCCAAAATGTAGTAACTATAAAGTGACCTTAGGGGCCAGTGAGTTTGCTGGGTAAACCTGTTGACTAGAATTCAATCCCTGGAGCCTATGTAAGGTAGAAAGAGAAACCAGTGCCACAAAATTGTCCTCTGACCTTTACATACATGCTGTGGCTTACATGCCCGCACCCATATATGTGCTTACAGACACAGTGATAATACATTTTTAAACAAATTTTTAAAAAACTGACATTAGAACTGAGCTGAATAGAGTCACATTGAGTAGCCTATGTTGGCCTCAAACTTGAGGTCCTCCTGGCTTAGCCTCTGGAGTGCTATAATTACAGATGTGTACACACACACACACACACACACACATACAAACATACACCAAGAAACATTTATTATGCAGTTTCTGAGGGCCAGGAAACTGTGAGGGGCGTGGCTTGATGATTTGCTTCCGGGTCTCTCTGGAGGCTGCTGTCAAGCTGTGTAGGACACAGTCTCAGAAGACTGGACTGGGGCTGGCAGGGTAACTCCTTTGCTGGCAGTTCCTCTCCCTTAGGACTGTTCATAGTGTGGCTTTCCTTGGGCGAGGAGTCTGAAGAACAAGTCAAAGGGAACATGCAAGACAGAATTTGTAATATTCGACAGTCTCCTTATAGAAATACCATACGTCTATTGTGAGCCACACAGACCAATTTGGGGACAGTGTGGTATCTAAGATTATAAATGCCAGGAGAAAGAGGTCATTAGGGGCCAGTTTGGAAGCTAGGTGTACGAAAGGTAGAATTACTAGGTGTAGTTCAGATTCTCAAGAGTAAATATTGTGGATTTCCTAAGAGATGTTGACACAGAAAGCCCTGGGAGGAAGCTGAGATTTGGGGCTTTCCCTGCATGGGAGTTGAGATGGTGTTGACAGAGGTAAGAGTGTGGCTTGAATAGGGAGGAGGTAGTATTTAACTTGGCTTGACATGAGATGGACATACTGAAGTGGCCAAGAAGGCATCTTGTCATTGTTAGTCCTAGCCTGTGAACTCACAGTGACTTCCTGGGAGTTATTTTGTAAATTATTAAGAACCTATGGGTTTCTTTGCAAAATAAAGGGATGGACAACACACAATGAATGCAACAGTATTTTTGTAGACTTCTTGTCTCATATTGCTCTGTTTGGTCTTTTTTTTTTTTTGGCTAACTGGTCTTTTGCTTGTATATTATGGTTTCTGATTTTGTGTTTTTATGGGCTTTGATTGGGCATGTGTGTGTTTCTTGTGCTTTTTCTTTGTTGTTTTTTAAAATTATTTTTCTGGTTTGTTTGTTTTTTGGTTTTCTAAAGAGAGAAAGAAGACATGGAGTTGGGTGGGTAGGGAGGATCTGGGAGGAGTTGGCGAGGGGAAACTGATCAGATGTATTGTGTGAAGATAAATTTATTTTCAATAAAAATATACATACATATGAAATAATAATAAGTGGCTGGAGAGGTGGCAGGTTTGATTCCCAGCACCACATGGTCAATCGTGACCCTGTATAACTCCAGTTTCAGGGAATTTGATACCCTTTTCTGGCCTCCACTGGCACCAGGCACACATGTGGTATACAGACATACATACAGGCAAAACACACATACACACAAAATAAATAAATAAATATTTTAAAAGTTTAAAATAAAGAGCCTGTGGGCGGGGAAGGGGGGACCCAAGCATCTGTGTTCTTGGCTGACCCGCCAGGGAGCTTTCCATGCCTTTCCTTTTCTTCTTCTCTCCTCTGATCCTTGTACCATTCCTCCCTTTATCTTTCCTCCCTTTCCCTCTTCACCTTTCACTGTGTGCAGGTTAAATCTCTGGCTGAATCCATCGATGAGGCCCTGAACTGCCACCCATCAGGGCCTATGTCTGAGGAGCCAGGGTCAACCCAGATGGAGAAGCGGGAATCAAAGGAACATCAAGAGGACAGCACAGCCACCTCCTTCAGTGACCTTCCCCTCTACTTGGATGACCCAGTTCCTCCTCCATCACCTGAGCGACTGCCCAGCACAGAGCCCCCACCCCAGAGCCGCCCTGAGTTCTGGGCACCAACTCCCCTCCCACCAGTTCCTCCACCGATGCCACCAGGGACCCGGGAAGATGGTAGCCGTGAGGAAGGCACTCGCAGGGGTCCTGGGTGCTTGGAGTGCCGGGATTTCCGGCTCCGGGCCGCACACCTTCCCCTCCTTACCATTGAGCCTCCCAGTGACAGTTCTGTAGACCTGAGTGACCGCTCAGATCGCGGCTCTGTCCACCGCCAGCTGGTGTATGAGGCTGATGGCTGCAGCCCCCATGGGACCCTGAAGCACAAGGGGCCACCAGGCAGGGCCCCAATCCCACACCGCCACTACCCTGCCCCTGAGGGTCCAGCTCCAGCCCCACCAGGGCCCCTGCAGCCAGCCCCCAATAGTGGCACTGGGCCCAGTGGTGTGGCTGGGGGTCGGAGGTTGGGGAAGTGTGAGGCAGCAGGTGAGAACTCTGACGGTGGAGACAATGAGAGCCTCGAGAGCTCCAGCAACTCCAATGAGACCATCAACTGCAGCTCTGGCTCCTCGTCCCGGGATAGCCTGAGGGAACCTCCAGCCAGTGGCCTGTGCAAGCAGACCTACCAGAGGGAAACAAGGCACAGCTGGGACTCGCCAGCCTTCAACAATGATGTGGTTCAGAGGCGGCATTACAGAATTGGCCTCAACCTCTTCAATAAGTATGTGCTCTCAGTTCTAGCCTCCTTGCCTCTTCCCATCCTGCCTAGGCACCTTGTTTGAGGACCTAGCTCCAAGCAGTGACCTTGGTTCTGCCAGCCTATCATCGGGTGAAATGGTATTTCTCCCCCAGATGCCCAGGGATGAGGACTAGTAGAAGGGTGGCAGAAGGGAACAGTAGCACTTGCCTGGAAATCTTAGCACTCAGTAGACTTTAGTCAAAGGGGTTGCTGTAAGTTAGAAGACAGCCTAGTCTCTGTTGGGAGCACCAGGCCAGCTTAGGCTACAGAGTAAGACCCTGTCTCAAAAGACAATTAACCAAACTAAGAAACCAAGGGGGAAAACAAGGTTACCGAATCGAGAGACACCCCCCCCCCACACACACACACACATACCCGTGTTCGAGTCCTGTGCTTTCAGTATCTGTTTGTATGATCTTGAGCAAGATGGCAAGATGTTTCCCCAAAATGACTTCCAGGTGTTATCATCCCTATATCCCCCTTCCAGAGGGGAGGCCGTCTAGAATATAAAGAACCCCAGACTAAGACCCCTAATCTGCCTGTTCACTCACTGTCTAGCCTTAGGTAACCTGTGGTCCTTCTTTGGGCTTCAGGTTTTCTCATCTTTCTGTAAGTAGGGTTGTGTATTTGGCAGCAGGCTGGAATGACTAACTGACTAAGCTCTTTCTGAGTGCCTGGTCCTCTGCCAGGTGCTGAGGAATGGGGGTAAGAGTGTGGCATTTGATTGGAAAATAATTAGAAAACATAATATGTAATTAGACAACATTAGATATAATGGAAGGCATTTGATGTAATGCCTCTCATCTTTATAGTCTGTTAAACACTGCCACCTATGTTTAATTTTCACAATAACTCAGCAAGGCTGGTAGGAGTGTTCGTATTTTAGAGATAAGGAAGTGAGACCTGGAGAAATAAAAGAGGCTGTCCAAAGCCATGCAGAAAGTGATTATTCAGAAACTCCGGGACATCAAAGTCCAAACTTCCAATTTTTGGTTTCATGGGAGTCCTAAGACATTCAGGTTCTGTATGTGGGATGATTCCAACCCAGATGTTTTGGTCCCAGTCTCTGTAAACATTGGAGGCACCTCATCTGTAGAAAAAGCCCCAGAGACTGGCTAGGATGTAGGACATGGAACAAGTAACCTCGTCACTTCTTCCCTGTCCTGAGGGTTCTGAGAAGCAGTCTTGGTCTAGAGCTCAGGCCTTTTCTCAAGACAGTCTGACGGTTGCGGGGATGATCCTGACGAAAGTAGGCTCTCATTTCGATGCTTCTTTTCCTCCACCTGTGGTAAGCCTCCAGTAAAAGAGGAAAGGGGTGTGAGGATGGATGGATACCTTGGAATTTTGAAACTCTCTGAGATGGAAAGTAGTTTACTCTTATGTTGTGATGTTTTTATCTGTACCCGAGAGGAATTGGACCACATTATAGACCCTCGGCTCTCTGAAGCCTTGCTTAGTTCTAGAAATGGGACCAGGTGCAGTTCTAGAGGAACAATTATCTGACCTACCTCTTCTCTTTTTGCAGGAAGCCAGAGAAGGGTATCCAGTATTTGATTGAGCGAGGTTTCCTGTCAGACACTCCTGTGGGGGTGGCTCACTTCATCCTGGAGCGGAAAGGCCTGAGCCGGCAGATGATAGGGGAATTCCTGGGGAACCGGCAGAAGCAGTTCAACAGAGATGTGTTGGAGTGAGGACCCCAACATGGGGCAGGCGGGCTAGGGATTCCTGGAAAAGGAAGGCAGGAGGGAGAAAGGGGGCAGTCTGTCTTTTTTGCTCAGATAAACTTTTTAAAACAAGATGACTAGATTTTCGTGTTTCCATACCCCTCTGCTCCTAAAGGGTCTTCTCTCTCTTGACCCTATTCCTAAAGTCTTCGAAGAGTGGCTCTCCGCAGGGCATGCTCACCTAATAGTTCGCTTTGGGCCTCAGTTTCCCATCACTGAAACGAATAGACTAATGGAAAGCACTCTAAGTGACCATGGGCCTTCAGTTTTCTTACTTCAGCTTCACTCGGTCCAGAGTTTGGAAGCATGTCAGTGGGGGTGCGGGGCTGCTTATGCAAGTGGGTGGGCCAGTGGTTTCTGTAGAGAAATGAAGAGTGCCACCACCCACCCTGACTCTTTACTTTTCAGCTGTGTGGTGGACGAGATGGACTTCTCCTCTATGGATCTGGATGATGCACTCAGGAAGTTCCAATCCCATATTCGGGTTCAGGGTGAGGCCCAGAAAGTGGAGCGACTCATTGAAGCTTTCAGGTGTGCCTGCTTCCCACTCCTGAAGCTGCCCTTTTCTTCTTTGGGGCCCTATTTCCACAAGATGCTTCTCTGCATTTTAATTTTCTCCCACTAAACAGAAATGAAGGTCAGGTGTGGAGGGGGAAGAGACAGGAGGATCTCTGAGTTCAAGGCCAGCCTGGTCTACTTAGTGAGTTTCAGGACAGCCAGGTCTACATAGAAAAACCCTATCTCAAAGAAGAAAACTAACCAAATAAGCAAAAATCCAGAAATGATAAATCTCATCTTGAGAGGCATTTGTAAGGTTTGGAGATAGTGAATATAGCTCTGATATATATATCAGTGATCGAGCATTTGCCTGTTGCATGGCTATGAATCTTTGGTTTCTGTGTCTTGTACTGAAAAAGGGGGGGGCTACCATTCTATGAGGTAGATGCTTCTATTGATATTTCTATTTTGTAGGTGACAAATCTCAAGTTTAGGGGCATTAGAGTAAGTTAGCTGAAGCAGGATTTGAACTTGCGTGTTTCTAAAGCCGTGGTATCTATACTCAGCTCTAAATGCTTTGAAGATCAAACTGAGCTGGGTCTAAATCTTGCTCCACTGCTTTGGAGCATTTACAGGGGAGACGGAGGAATTGCTGAGAACTCATTTTCCATTATGGGCGAAAGATTTGCTTTGGCAGATGATCTGTTTCATCCCAGCTTTACCACTCACTTGCTCTATTGCCTGGTCGAGTTACCTCACCACTCTGAACTTTCATTATATCCTGTGTAAAACAGGACTGCTTGGGAGTTGGAGGTGTGGTTTAGTGATAGAGCAAATGCTTAGCATGCTCAAGGCCCAAGGTTCAACCTCCACTGCTACATAGCCAAAGAAATGGGGCACTAGCATTCATGCAGTGGTGTGATCAACTGCATGGGACAATGTACATTAAGTTTCCTGGAAAAGTTCCAAGAAGTTAGTGATTATGGTTTTTCATGGTACTATTGGGGAAAATGGAAGAGGACAGATTTCAAGTACTAAGGGAGTGTTTCTTGAAGGAAAGGGATTATGATGGCAACTTGGGCAAATTGTGGGCAGGTGGAGATTGCTGGCACCTGCGTCTAGACTTGACCCTTGTTGTCTCACAGCCAGCGGTACTGTGTCTGTAACCCTGCCCTTGTACGCCAGTTCCGGAACCCCGACACCATCTTCATCCTTGCTTTTGCCATCATCCTCCTCAATACCGACATGTACAGCCCCAGCGTCAAGGCTGAACGCAAGATGAAACTGGATGACTTCATTAAGAACCTGAGAGGTGAGCAGAATTTCCCATTTACTTTTCTTGCCCGCCATCAGAGAAAAGAAATTAGGGTGGGGATGGGAGTGCGGTGAAAGATCCCAGAAGTCATTGTAAATTAGCCTTTGTCACTTTATCTCATAGCTGGATGTCCCCAGGCTGTTCACTTAGCAATTCACTCCAACAGTTACTTGCCAGGCTGTGTGGGTAGCTCAGTAGCTGAGTGCTTACCTAGCATGTGCAAGGCTCTGAGTTTGATTTCCAGAACTGCAAAGACAAACCCACTCTCGGAGCAGCTATTTCCTAGGTATTGACTCAGGTTGTAGAATATGACTCTGTCTCAGAAAACAAAGAAATACAGATAGCCTGACTCTTAAACTGTTTTATTCACTCACATCCTTCACCCATCCCTTATTAGCGCTCTCCTTGTCTTTCCTACTTACACCCATAAAGACTCATTTAGATACCTTTACCTCCATTCATTTATTCGTTCATCCATCCAGTTGGCCAGCCAGTTGACACTTACTGGATGTTTAATGAGTACCTAGTAAAATGAATACCAAGGACAATGGAGGGGAGTCTGCTATAGGCTCTGTTCTTAGAGCTCTTCCATCATGAGGGAGAGACTGCCATGTAGTGCCTAGATAACCACGATGAGACAGAAAGTGAACAGTGATGTCAAAGAGGCCAAAAGACAACCAGAACTCAAAGGAAGGAGCTCTTACCTCCTACTGACTTCCCAGAGGAGTTGTATTTTAAGGTGAGCCTTGAAATGACAGACTAAAAATAGAGGAGGGCTTACCTGGCAGAGAAAACAACAAAGGCCCAGATGGAAGAAAATGTGAGGTTGTTTAGAGATCAATTGAGATGGGCTAGACGAACACTTGGGAAGGTCAGGCGGATCCAGTCTCTGAGGTCTTCCAATGCCAGATAAATGATGCCACTTTGATCTGTGCTTTCGGTTTATTGTAACGATGTCAAGCTCTCACCAAAGAGCAGCCTACTAAAATGGCACAGATACTATGATTATTTCAAAAGCAATGAAAGGAGGGAAATAGAGATGGGAAGAGCAAGACAAAGTTGCTGACTGTCATAATTTATGTTGCTGGAGGCTTTAAAGCTGTCTGGCAGCTAAGATAAAAAAAAACAGTGGGGAGAAGAATGTACTTTTAGCACTTGTACAAGGAAGAAGTATGGTATTTCCCAAACAAGAAGTCATTTTTTCCTAGCAGAAGCTTTAAAGAGAAGAGTGAAAAGGTTTCACTCAGCACACAGTCAAGAGTGGAGAAAGACAGTGGACTTAGGAAGAGCAAGTTAGATTTGAGGGCACCCAGAGCTGTTTCCCATAATTTTGCCATTATTCATTCAACCATATACATATGCTCACCATGTATACAGTCAGTCCTCCATACCTGTGGGTTCTTCATCCATGAATTCAACCAACTGTAGACTGAGAACATCTAGAAAAAAACTTGTGTCTGTACTGAACATGTATAAACTTTTTCTTGTCATTATCCCCAAATAATACAGTAAAACCACTGTTTACATAGCATTAACATTGCAGTACATATTGAAGTAACATACAAATTATTTAAAGTAACAAGAGAATGTACATAGGTTATATGAAAATACCACTCAATTTTAACAAGATCAACCAACACCTTACCACTTAGCAACCATACTTGACTGTCCTATTTTATATATGAAACATGAGCATCCTTGGATTTGGGAGTTGATGGAAGATCTTGGGACCAATCTCCCATGGATATGGAGAGATGATATGTGTGTGTGTGTGTGTGTAACCATGTATTTCCTCCAATTATTGAATAAATAAGCAAACAAACAAATGAAAGCAATACATGTCTATTTTAGGAATGTGGGGCATGAGGCTATATTTCAGCAACAGGCTGTACTTAATATTCATGAGGCCCCTCCCTGGGTTTAGTGCTCACCACTGCCAAAATTATTTTCTCCTTACATTAATTTGTTTATTGGGGTGTGTGTGTGTGTGTGTGTGTGTGTGTGTTACATGTGGCTATACACATGTCACAGTATTCATGTGGAGGTCAGAGGACAGCTTGCAGAAGTTTGTTCTCTTCTTCCACCATGTGGCTTCTGGGGATGGAGCTCAAACCATCAGACTTAGCAGCAGGTATCCCTACCTGCTCAGTCATTTCTCTGGTCCTCATGTAGTTTATTTTATTTTTAATTCTTTTTTTTTTTTTTTTTTTTGGTTTTTAGAGACAGGGTTTCTCTGTGTCACTTTGTTGCCTGCCCTGGAACTAGCTCTTGTAGACCAGGCTGGCCTTGAACTCACAGAGATCCTCTGCCTTCCGAGTGCTGGGATTAAAGGCGCGCACTACCACCACCTGGCTCCTCATGTAGTTTATTGTCTTACTCTTTTTACTTAACTTGCTACAGGGATTGTCTCATATTATTGAAATATTTTGGTAAACATCAAGTTTATAGATAAACTATTATTTACTTAGCTATTTCTCTATTGTTAGAAATTAAGCTGTTTCCAAATTTCTCCACAAATAGCACTTGGTGAACATTCTTTGACATCAATCTCACATATATTTTTGAATAATTCCTTAGGATAGATTCTTTGGAAAAGAATTGATAGGTTTGAATATTTACGCTCTTGCTAGATTAGTTTCTGAAACTGTTATATCAGTGTACACTCCAAATTCCTCAGATTCTTACTAACTCTGAATATTATTTTCAAGTAATATTCCCAGTTAAGAACGTACTTAATCGTAGCACTTAGGAAGTAGAGGCAGATAGGAGGGGGGTGGGAGTGGGGGATGGCTGGAGTGATGGCTCAGCAGTTAAAAGCACTGACTGCTCTTTCAGAGGACCCGAGTTCAATTCCCAGTACCCACATGGTGGCTTACAACTATCTGTAACTGCAGTTCCAGGGGATCCAATACCCACCTTTGACCTCTGAAGACAGCAGGCCAACATGGTACACAAGCATGTGTACAGACAAAACACTCATATACATAAAAAACAATAAATAAATCTTAAAACAAAAACCATGGAAGGTAAAAGGCAGTACCTGCTTGTCTTAATTGCAGTGTGTTATAAGTTGTTTAGACAAAATCCCTACCCTAGCTAAAAAAGTAATTGGCTGTTTTGTTTAAAGGCACCTTCCCTGTCCCATTCATAGCTAAAAGACTAAGAATACTCACTGGGTTTTTTGGTTTGTTCTTTTGTTTTGTTTTCGCTACGGTCCATGCTGGGTGTGAGATATTATGGAGATCCCCCTACTGCCTACCCTCCATATTGATGTGACATACTCCTGTGTTACACTTTCCATGTAGGGGTTGACAATGGTGAAGACATCCCCAGAGACCTCCTGGTAGGCATCTACCAGCGCATCCAAGGTCGTGAACTGCGGACCAATGATGACCATGTGTCCCAGGTGCAGGCTGTGGAGCGCATGATTGTTGGCAAGAAACCGGTGAGTGCCTGGGGAAGGGACAGTGTTGTGTGGTAAGTTATCCCCCCCCAGCCCAGGTTGCCCTTACCTGTAAAATGAAGTGGAAGATATTATATTCCTTAGGGATCATGGTACAGATTATGGGAGATTCTCCATGTAAATGCATCTAGTATATTGCAAAGTTCATAGTAGGTGCTGTGTAAGTATTTTCTTCTCATCTATGGTTTTTTCTGCCCATCCCAAGTAAGAAGAGTCAAGCTAATATTTTCTAAAAAAACAGATATTTTGGCCAACAAACATTTATGGATGCCTTATCCTTGATTTTTTACTGAAATCTAGAGACATAGATATGAATCAGACACAATTTCTGTCTTTAGGGGCACTCAGAGATTAGTGAGGTTCCAAGGCAAAGACACATAATGCTTCTGCCTCGTGGTCTAATTTAGAGGAACAGAAATCAGGGAGAGGCCATTTTAAGGCAAGGGAAGTTAGAAAGACTTCTTGGAAAATAACTTTGGAATTGTGATTTGAAAAAGCTGGACAGGAAAAGCTTTTCAGACAAAGGGTGCTATTGGGACAAAGACAAGGTGGCAGGAAAGCTTAAAGGACTTCGTTGTTTATATTCTTTGTGTCAGGGTGACAGATATGTATCAGGTATACATTCTGTCTCGTTAAGGTGCCAGAGGCCTAAAACCGCTGGATGGCCTTGCTGACAACTATTTTTCCACATCTATCCAGGTCCTGTCTCTTCCTCACCGTCGACTGGTTTGCTGTTGCCAGCTCTATGAGGTGCCAGATCCAAACCGCCCCCAGAGACTGGGGCTGCATCAGCGGGAGGTTTTCCTCTTCAATGACCTCCTTGTGGTATGGGCATTGGGCAGAAGGAAATGGGAGGGAGATAGTCAGCACAGCTGTTGGCTCTGGTGCCAACCGTGCTATGTGGAGTGTGGTTGGAACGCTGCAGCATGCCATCTGCGCGGTCTCGAGTAAGGCACAGCCCTTCTCTGGCCCTCATTTTCTTTCATTTTGCTTTGGTGACAGCCACACCAGGGCAGACAATGTGAGAATTGCGGGGAAATGATAGACCTATAATCTGGGAGGTAGTAGGAAGTAGAGGGTTGTGAATCTGCGGCCCTGCGTACCTTTCTGTTGTCTTGATGATGGAAGTGATTAAAACAAGCATGTCACTGGTACAGTGGCACACCACATCTTTTAGTGATGGATTTGTTGGATTCTGTGGATCTGAAGGGATTTTCAGAATTTCCTGGACAAGAACCACTCTTCAAGATGGCTTAGCCCTGACTGCTAGAATCCGTTGTGGGCTTTTGGGGAAAAGGGGGTGGGTTTGTTTTTATTTTGTTTTGTTTTTCTAATACAGGGTCTCACTGTACAGCTCTGGCTGTCCTGGAATATGCACTCTGTAGACCAGGCTAGCCTCACACTCACAGAGATCCACTGGCCTCTGCCTCTGGAATGCTAGGATTAAAGACGGGCACCGCCACACCAGGCTAGAATTTGCCTCCTAATGGGGTTCACCTCCTACTCAAGTTCCTCACCGTTTCTTGGGAACACAATAAGTATTCCCCCCTCTGTTCTGAGACAGTAATCCAGGGATTTGAGAACAACAACCCTGTTCCTTCCTTGGTCTTCTCTCCTTCACAGCAGCGTTTCTCAGTCTTGGCTCTGTTAATATTTTGAGGCAGACAATCCTTTCTTGCAGGGGCCTGTCTTGTGCACTGTAGTATTTTAGCACCACTCTGGGTTAGCCACTAGAAGCTAACAGCAAACCTCCAACCAAAAAAAAAATGTATTCTCCAGAGAAAAGCAAAAGAGAGAAAGATGGGTGGGAGAGGTAGAGAACATCTTCTTCAGGGAAGAAAAGAAAAGAAGGCAGCATCTTCTTCTCCAGATGTTGTTCTGTACTCTCTCCAGTTGAAAATTACCACTCTAGACAAAATGCCTCCAACATCCTTTCCAAACCTTAGTTGCTTGCTTCATGAAATAGTGCTGACCCTTATTTCCCGGAGTTGTTGAGAAGATGAACTAAGAACTCAGTGCCTGGCAACACAGTTCAGTAGTAGAGCGCTTGCTTAGCATATGCAAGGATCTGGGTTCCATTCCCAGCCCTACAAAAGAGAAGAGGGTTTAGAGACAATCACATTTTCAAGAGGCGTGCCTGGCCCACACAGGAACCGAGTCACTGTTAGATGCCCTTCGTGCACTGACGCCACTCTGTGTATGGAGCTCTATGCTGGCTATTGAGCACATGGAGAGAAATCAGACTCAGTCCTTGTTCTCAGGGACTCACTAGGACCTAAAATGTGTTTTACAACATGGTGTGGTGATAAACCCCTGTCACCTAAAGCATTTGGGATGTGGGGGCAAAAGGAACAGGAAGCTAAGGTCAGACTGGGTTATGTGATGGAGGCCTTATCTCAAACACCGCACCACATCCCTGCCAAAAAGTGTTTGACATCATTGTGCACTGTAACCAACCTAAAATCAAACGCTTGTTTTAAGAGCCATTTGTAGAGGAAGGGGCTATAGTTTTGTGATAGAGTTACTTGTCTGGCTCCAGGTTTCATCCCCAGCATACAAAATAAATGGAATAAAATAGTCACTTGCAAATTGTCTGAGCTTATGTTAGTGTAAAATCCAGAAAGCCTAAAGACTTTGGGTTGGCGAGAGATTAAGTCTGTTCATAGGCTAGGCAGGAGTTGCTGTTATGCACTAGCTCTTGATGGTGGAGGTTGGGGTAGGTGAAAGAACCTGAAAACTAGAGCCCCTGCCATCTAGGCCATCAGGGAGCAATCACATATTCAGAACTACCATAGAGTCTGACAAGGGAAAAGGTATAGAACCAGAACCTGCACCCTGGAAGCTCAGAAGGTGGAAACAGAAGTCTGTGTGAGGTACTGGGACGAGCTTCCTGGAGGGACCAGCATTCATTTAGTTCCTTTAAAAGTTGTGGGTGTTTGTATATGCTCACAATGTCACAAACTTGCGTTTTCTCCCACCTCTCTCTTCCTCAAGTTTCAGTTCTCCCTTGTGGGTATGTGTGCTCATGTGTGCATGTCTGTTACGGGGAATGGGTGCGGAAGGTGCTTACTAGAAATGGGTATCACTTGGAAATTCCCCACCCTAAACCCAGCCTCTTATCTTTTTCCCACCCTTGTTTGCCAAAGGTCACCAAAATTTTCCAGAAGAAGAAGATCTTGGTGACATACAGCTTCCGTCAGTCCTTTCCCCTGGTGGAGATGCACATGCAGCTCTTCCAGAACTCATGTGAGTCCCCTTCTGAACCCTAGCATGCATCCCAGGGTTTATCAGAGCCCATGCTCACCCTTCGTCTACATGAGCTTCCAGCCTTTGAAGTCCTCCTCTACAATTGCATTAAAGTCTCCAAAGTATCTACTTGTCCAAGGGTGGAAGGAAAACTAGAATGGAGTATGATTTGGGTGTGGCCCCTGGAGAACCTGGAATAGCAATGTTTTATATATTCCTTAGTGAGCAGATGTGGAAGCCACCCCGTGCTTGAAGTGCTGAACTGAGAACAAGAGCATGCTTGAGTGTCATTCAAGAGAGCAAAGTCATTGTGAGAGGCAGAGGGACAAAGGAAAAGGTTTCTAGAAAGCAGTTTAGAATTATGTTTGCCTTTCCATCCTGGAGTCTGGCATAAGGTTGCCAAGGCTACCAGGAGTTCGGGGATAACATACAACCAAACCGATCACTGAGTTTCAATATATTTGTGGTGTTTCTACATGATCAGAGCAGTTTTTGTTAAATTCCAGTGTTTTTCAGAATAAAACTGGCCATATCTCGCACTATGTGAAAACCCAATTAGTTAGTTAAATGTTTAAGCAAATGTTTAAATACAAATTGTCTGAGGAGTTCGGGGATAAAGGGAAAGCACTGAAGATGCTTGAGGCACTTCAGAATTGGGTGTTACAGAAATAATTGCCACGGTGTACAAGGTGATGTGTAGGGAAGTATTTGAGAGGCAGAGACAAAAAAGTTACTTGAGCCCAGGAGTTTGAGACTAGGCAAATAGCACGACTCTGTCTCAGATGGTTGGCAGTAGCAGGGAGTGGGTTGGATCATTTCTCAGTTTCTAGTCTTAGCCACTTTGCTTCAAACCTGACAGAAATACCCAGCTTCTCCTGTCCCCTCCCATTGCCGCAGATTATCAGTTTGGGATCAAGTTACTGTCTGCGGTACCTGGAGGGGAACGAAAAGTCCTCATCATCTTCAATGCTCCTAGCCTCCAAGACAGGTTGCGCTTTACCTCTGACCTGCGGGAGTCCATTGCTGAGGTGCAAGAGATGGAGAAGTACCGTGTGGAATGTGAGTAGCTATAGCATGACTCCTTCTCCCGTCATGATACAGTGCCCCACAGACACCAAGAATCCTGTCTTCTGACAACCGCAGAGTTAAGGGCTAGCTTGCCCAACCTTCCTACCTTCATTCCAGGAACCTCTCACCTTCTGCCTGAATACTTTCAGAGACAAGAAGGTCATTACTTCCTTACCTCAGATTATTATTCCAGCCATTGTGAGTCTATGCCGGGGCCTCCACACCCATCCTCTCATCATGAGCCAACTTTTCCTTCTTTTGAAGGGAGACTCAGGGCATAAGAGTTAGGACTGTAGCTTCGTACTTCATGTCTGCTATTTGTTAGCTGGGCAAACTTGGGTGAGTTCCGCAGCCCTCTGAACCCTTTGTTCAGATGAAACAGGAATAAAGAAATCTTCACAGTTCTTTCCCACTGCTCTTCTGAAGAGACAGGCTGGTCCTTACCTCCTCTTCTTCTTTCTCTCTGTATCTCTCTCCTTCTCCCTTCCTTTCCCCACTCCCTTCATCTCAACAAAACTCCTACATAAGCTCAAAAAAGAAAAAAAAAAAGAAAAAGAAATCTTCACTGAGTTTGACAAAGAGCCAGACACAGTGGTTGCACATCTGTAATCTCAGTACTGGGAAGGCTGAAACAGGAAGATTTCAAGTTCCCAGGCCAGCTGTGGCAATGTATTGAGTCTCTGTTACAATGAGAGGAGAGGGAGAGAAAGTGGAAGAGGGGAAGAGAGGGAGAAGTTGAAGATGAAGGAGAGGAAGAGAGGAGAGACCAGTGCATTCATGGTGTTCAACAATACCATTCCTTGTCTCCTCTCCTCAATATCAGCTCCCAAACTGAGGTCCAGCTCAATACCCGAGACCTACACCAAGTTATTTTGATCATGGGCTATAGAAAATAATGATTATATCTCATTCTTCTTGATGCCCTTCAAGGTTTCTCTTCTCCAAGCTAAGCAGTCATAGTTAAGTAACATGGCATTGAGGAGAAAGAAAGCAGAGAGAAACAGACCTTGATAGGTCTGCAGCCAGCAAGGCAGAGTATCAGTTCAGTAGAGACCTGGAGCCGCTGGGGAGATGTAAGGCAAGAGATTAGCCATATCAAGATAAGGAGAGGCCCACTAGATCGGAGTTTTCCTGACCTCATTGGAGGCATAGGGGGGGGCCAGTAGAGCAAGATAGACCTGCTTTTAGAATGTTCGCTTCACCGATTTCAACTGTCTAACCCTGAGCAAACTCTATAACTTGTCAAGTTCTCAGGTTCTCCTGCATAATGTAGACTATGCTCATAATGTGGAATGAGTGGGATCAGGTATGTGCTGTCCCCAGCATTCTGCCTAGCACATAATAAAGGCTTTGATTCCTGGCAGTTTCGTGCCCTTGCTCTTCCGAGAGCTTCTCTGCTATGAAGCAAGGCATTTGAGAACTGCATGAACATTTGACAGGACTGTCTTTCACCATAGGCTAGAAGGGCCTTCCCATCCTTCCTGTGAGCCATCTGTTGCAAAGCTCTTGTTTAAAGGGCTGGGGTGTTTAGCGAGGCCTATCTACAACAGGGTAAAGAAATGACGGACAAGAAGAGGGAGAGGAAGCAAGAAGAGGGGGCACTTATAGGGAGGAAAGCAAAAGAAGGGCTCAGTGGCATAGGATGGGCGGGGCACCTAAGGAGCTTTGAAGATAGAGTTGTAGTTATAGAGGGGAAAAGTACTACGGGGATGGGGGTGAGGTAGAAAGCTTGGGGAGCAGAAGGAGGGAGGAAAACTGAGGTGGGCTGCCAATCAATTCAGGTGGGTTCTCAATGTTATTCCTGACCTTTTCCCATTTTCTCCACTGCTACCCAGCGGAGCTGGAGAAGCAGAAAGGTATGATGCGACCTAATGCCTCACAGCCTGGAGGAGCCAAGGACTCAGTGAATGGGACTCTGGCCCGCAGTAGTCTGGAGGACACTTATGGGGCAGGCGATGGGCTCAAGCGGGGTGCACTCAGTAGTTCCCTGCGAGACCTCTCTGATGCAGGTAAGTGTTTTGGGCCCCTTCCCTGGCTGGGGAGATGTGGGACCAGGTGTCCTCTTTGCCTCCTGTCACTCACTGGCCTTCCTCCATCACACACACACACACACACACACACACACACACACACACAGAGCCTTCATTCAGAGCCCTGGGCACTATGTCACAGGGGGCCTGGTAGCCAGATCAGAACAGGTGGGGCCCAGGGTTTCTGCCAGGGAGTATAAAGTGGGGCCACAGACTCTGCCCCTCTCCTCTTTTCCCTCTTCTGTCTCTCCTTTACTGCCTCTCCTCCATATTTTCCTCCTCTCTTTCCTCCTTCTCAACCTCTCTTCCTCCCTACCTCCCCCTCTTTAATGGGGGAAAGGGGTAATGGGGTATCTGTCCCTGGGAGGGACCTAGGCCTGGTGCCCAGCTCTGGAGCCCAGCAGGGTGGGGAGGGAGGGTTGCTGCTCTGACGCTGGGCTCCTTGCTTGTGGGTGCAGGGAAGCGGGGGCGGCGTAACAGCGTGGGATCGCTGGACAGCACCATCGAAGTAAGTGTCAGCTCCTGCCCCACTCATTTTCTGCATGAGCCCTGCCCTGGCCATGGAGCCCCAGAGGAGGAGGGGACCTGTTGCCTACCCCTCTTCCGTGCTGGGTACCATATGGCTGCCTCTCCCAGCCAACCACTTTCTCCATCTGTCCTCACTCTGTCTGTCCTCACTCTGCCTGTCTCTCAGTCTGTCTTCCACTCTCCCATGTCCCTTCTTAACCCCAGGGCCAACTCCAAATAGGGATGCCCTTGGACTTGGGCCTCGAGAAACTTTAACCTCCAAATCCTGCTCTTTGACCCCGAGCGAGTCACTCTGCCTCTCTAGGCCTAACATTTTCTTGGCCTGAGAAATGGTCATGAGAAGGAGGTCCTACTGATTCTTCCTCTGCCCTCTGAGATTCAACTGAGGTAGTGGATGTGTCCGCAGAGCCGGCCACAAATACAGGACTGCTGCTTGGTTTTTGCTGTTACTTTGGGGGTCCTTGTTGCTCCAGCTTCAGGGACAGGGGTGGAGTTTAGGGCTGGGGGTTTAGATATGTAGACTGGCCTGACTTCCCTCCCTCCCCCGTTTCAGGGGTCTGTTATTAGCAGTCCACGCCCTCACCAGAGGATGCCACCTCCGCCCCCACCCCCGCCGCCAGAGGAGTACAAGAGCCAGAGGCCAGTCTCGAACTCCTCATCTTTCCTGGGCTCCCTATTTGGAAGCAAGAGAGGCAAAGGGCCCTTCCAGATGCCACCACCGCCAACAGGCCAGGCCTCTGCCTCGTCTTCATCCGCTTCCTCCACCCACCACCACCATCACCACCACCACCATGGTCACAGCCATGGTGGCATGGGGGTGCTACCTGATGGGCAGTCCAAGCTTCAGGCCCTGCATGCCCAGTATTGCCAAGGACCGGGCCCTGCCCCACCACCCTACCTCCCATCCCAGCAACCCTCTCTGCCTCCACCCCCTCAGCAGCCTCCACCCCTGCCCCAACTGGGCTCCATTCCACCACCACCTGCCTCAGCCCCACCTGTGGGGCCACATCGACACTTCCATGCCCACGGCCCAGTTCCAGGACCCCAGCATTATACCTTGGGCCGGCCAGGCAGAGCCCCAAGACGAGGGGCTGGAGGACACCCTCAGTTTGCTCCACATGGCCGCCACCCCTTGCACCAGCCCACATCCCCATTACCCCTGTACAGTCCTGCTCCACAGCACCCGCCTGCCCATAAACAGGGCCCTAAGCACTTCATCTTCAGTCACCACCCACAGATGATGCCAGCAGCAGGTGCAGCTGGGGGCCCTGGGTCCCGGCCACCAGGGGGATCCTACTCCCACCCTCACCACCCCCAGTCACCACTGTCACCACACTCACCCATCCCCCCTCACCCCTCCTACCCGCCCCTGCCCCCACCCTCCCCTCACACCCCACATTCACCCCTCCCACCCACCTCCCCCCATGGCCCACTGCACGCCTCTGGGCCCCCTGGCACAGCTAATCCACCCAGTGCAAACCCCAAGGCCAAGCCAAGCCGGATCAGCACTGTGGTCTGAGGAATGGAATGAGTGTACTGGGGAACAGATAGTCTGGGGAAGTCCACAGGAGAGGGACCTTGCCCCTCTCTTCTTCCTCAGTTTTTTCAAAATATATATACACTCAGCAGTGTCCTTCTTTCCACTTCCTCCATCTCTCCAGCCCCTTCTTCTAACCCCTAGCACTTGTCATGGGGTTTCCTTTCAGATTGGAGGGCCCTTGCCACTTGCAGCCTGAACTTAGGGCACTGCAGTGCTGGCAAGTGGTAAGGGCCTCTCCGTAGTCCTTGTCCTCCCTTTCCTATCTTCCTCTCTTCTCTTTCTGGTCCCTGGAGGCCTAGTTGGTGGTCTCAGACCTCTGGGCAGATGGGAGCGTCCTTACAAGCTGGTGGAGAAGGCAGGCTTCTGGAGCCGTGGGGGTGAAGGCTTCCCCAGAGCTCCTCTGGCTGTGTGGGGCTAGGAGAGAGCTCTGTAGAGCTGTGGCCAAACCTCAGGGCCTAGCCACACACCTCTATGTGTCTTTCTGCCTGCTGGAGGACACAGACTGTCCATGTACTCTGTGGGTGGAACCCCGCTTGTGCTGGCCCCCACTGAGGGCACTGCTTCCCTCTCTTGAGCCAGTCTGTGTGTGCCCTCCTAATAGGCCCCAGCCCAGACCTCTTTGGCTTCAGGAACTTGCCTTGCCCTGCAATGTTCTTATCCTGATCAAAGTCCAGACAGGTTTTTTTGGAGGTGGGGGGGGGGCTCAGGTCTGGGATGAGAAGGGTACTGCCCTCCCTCACCCATATTGCATGCCCCCCCATTCCTTCTTCTTTTCCCACCTACAACTGAAGACAATGCACTTTACAGATATCACCCACACATATCTCACTGGGGCAGGGCACCCAGCATCAGCCCTGGGGAAAGACTCCCAGAGGACCACCAAGATGTCCTTCCTGAGGCAGAGATTGAAGCCATCAGAGCTGGGGCTGCAAGCCAGAATGCCCAAGCCCCTCTTGTTCATCAAAACTCCACTGCCTCGCCAGCCCCTCTGCAGTCCTGTTTATTTATTATAAATATATTTTTTACAAGTCCCAGCCCCTCTTCTTGCCCTACACATCCAGCAGCTCCTTTCACAGTCCCTGCCTTCCTCTCCCCTGTCAAGTATGGGCTGCAGTACAGACAGACAGATGGACCCTCTACGTCAAAGGGTCCCTGGGGCTTCAGGTTGTGGGAGGGCATTGGTGGGAGGGACTATATGGAGAGGAGCGGAGCGGGGATTCAGGCATTGTCTTTTTCCCTCCTTGTATATAAGAATGTATATTTGATGCCTCATAAAAGACCTTGTGCTCACCTCTGGCTTCTGCTTCCTACTTCTGCCCCCTTCCCCACTGTGGAGCCCATGGAGAGAGGTGCTAGTTCAGGGAGGTGATGTGCTAATCATAGTTCAGACAACTGGGCATGCAAAATGCTGCAGTTGGATGCGGGGGGGGGGGGGGGGGGGGGGGGGGGGGGGGGGGGGGGGGGGGGGGGGGGGGGGGGTAGATGAGGGTGGGTTTTCTGTCTGCACGACAGTGGCAGGGGCGTGGACTTTGGTGTTGATCTAGTACACATCCTGAGGTTTTCCCTTAGGCACAAGAGTTTCAGAGAATGATCCAAGTCTTTGTCACTTCAGTTTACAGTTTGGGATGACCATACGTTGTTATGCTATCGAACTTGGCGGTCACAACCTGTGCCCCAAGTCAGGTTCAGCCACTTGTCTTCATTAAGCCAATTAAAACAGCCAAATTAAAAGTGAAAAGCAAAGCCGGGCGGTGGTGGCACACACCTTTAATCCCAGCACTTGGGAGGCAGAGGCAGGCGGATCTCTGTGAGTTCGAGGCCAGCCTGGTCTACAGAGTGAGTTCCAGGATAGGCTCCAAAGCCACAGAGAAACCCTGACTCGAAAACAAACAAACAAACAAACAAACAAAAAGTGGAAAGCAGAATGAAAAAGATTTATTCGGTGTGACCATATTATAAAGAGGGACAAAGAGACACCACCACCACCACCACCACCACCACCACCACCACCACCACCACCACCACCCTCCGCTATGTCTATCTTCAGGGTCCTAAAGGGAGGTCAAAGTTTTTTTTTTTCCCCCGAGACAGGGTTTCTCTGTAGCTTTGGAGCCTGTCCTGGAACTCTCTTTGTAGACCAGGCTGGCCTCGAACTCACAGAGATCCACCTGCCTCTGCCTCCCGAGTGCTGGGATTAATGGTGTGTGCCACCACTGCCCGGCTGGGAGGTCAAAGTTTTAAATAGGAACATGGATAGGCACAAAACAGTCCAGGTCAAGGTGTGGTTCCAGCCACCATTGACCCTTCCTTGTCTGGGCTTCAGTCTCTTCCTGTAAGGTGGTTAGAACTGGGGAAAACCTCTTTCCTGGAGACAAGTTCTTCTGGCATGAGATTCATGGAAAAATTCCCTTTCTTTGAGGCACATTGTTTAAATAATCTGATAGTTAGATTGAGAGACACAAGTGTCTCTTTAATAAAATATTCAGGGTGGAGAGATGGCTCGGAGATTAAAAGCACTTCCTATTCTTGCAAAGGACTGGAGTTTGATTCCCAGCACCCAAATGGTGGCTCATAACTGTCTGTAACTCCACAATTTTGGGGGTGGGATCCAACACACTCACTTTTTTATATTTATATATGGATACACACATATGCATAAGTGGAAATAAAAACAAACCGGGTGGTGGTGGTACATGCCTTTAATCCCAGCACTCAGGAGGCAGAGGAGGCAGGCAGGTCTCTGTGAGTTCAAGGCCAGCCCTTGGTTTACAGAACCAGAACAGGCTTCCAAAGCTACAGAGAAACCCTTTCTTGAAAAACAAAAAGAAAACGACTTTCTTTCTCTCTCTCTCTCTCTCTCTCTCTCTCTCTCTCTCTCTCTCTCTCTCTTTTTTTTCTTTGGAAAAAGAGTATCTTCATTTCTGCCAGGCTAGTTATAGCTACATGGAATTGTGATAACTGCATGAAGTAATCAATGCCTAGCACCTCAGATGGTGTAGGTATTCAGCAAGTTAGTTCTCTTATCTCCTTTCTAGAGTTTGACTATGTGGAAAGCGTGTGGCCTCTGTCACTCTTGCTGTGACTGGCCTGGTTTTGCCTTGGAACCCCTGCTACTGACCCTCTATGCAATGACTGGCCATATTTTTGTTCTTGATAGCAGCGAGGTGACTTGAGCCAAGAAGACCCAGGTCCAGATAACTTTCTATGAGCTCTGCGTATATACTTAGGATATTAACTAACAAATAGCTGTCTTTCCTTTACAGAGGAGACAGGCCACACAGCAAGTCGAGGTGAGGTTTTCTTGTAACCCAAACCTATTTCCACTGGCCCAAGTTGCTTCGCTGTAAAATGGAGCCATTTCTAGCACCAGTAGTTAGTTATACCCTGGGTCTCAACCTAGCACAGAAAGAATGGGACGGTGTAATGGCTCTTAGAGGCAGCAAGGTCCCAGACAACTGAGCTGATAGTTTCGCTGCTTTCCTAGAATGTGCAAAGGTGAATGGTTTAGGTGAGCCTGTACTTCTTGGATCAGTGCCTTTGTTTTCTTCCTGGTAAAGCATGCTGAAAGGCTACCCAAAGAAACAGCAGCTAGAGCCATATAAGCATTTGGTGCCCCCCTATGAACTGGACGTGAGTGTGAAGAGCCCAGACGTGGAGTCCGCACAGCATCGATTGGTTAAGCTAGACTATCCTTGGTCTCACCCAATTTTTTCCCATTTCAGCTAGAGATTGGCTCTATCTTGGCAAAGTTTAGCCTTTAGCACTTAGATACTGACCCATTCACCTGACCCCTCAGAGCCTGGTTTTTGACCTCTAGAATGGAGATAAAAGTCTTGCAGTACAACTGTTAGCTGATGCATGTGAAATGCCTACCTCTTGACACACAGTCAGCCAGTTGTTCTCGGCCACCTACAGAAATAAGTGCAAAAGTTAGCAGTTCTCCACAGGATGTCCTAGCCAAGATCTCAGAAGTCTTCCCCTCTCGTTTGCTGCACAAACACATACACACAATTAATTGATGAATGGAATTTTTAAAATTAAAAAAAGTTGCAGAATTCCAAAGCAGTAGTAATACAGAATAAACCATTCTCATTCCTCAAGGAAGGAATGAAGATATAGAAAGGAGGGACTAAAGCAAGGCTGAAAACCCAGTAGGATGAACATTACATTCTGTAGCTTCATGTCTGGTGTCTCGGTCACGTGGCATCATAATGTAACATCCAAAGAACCTGGAAAGCCCTGCCCCCGTGACCCCTTTCTTGGGCTGGCCTTGTTGGCTGGCTGAAGCTTTCCTTAGCAAATGTTCCCATTACCCAGGCATCTTTAGCTTCCTGGGATCACCACAGACATTTCAAGGTTACTCTCACAGCTTCACCTGTTGCCCTCTCAATGGTTGCCTGTTAGGGGTCCTGGCATCTTCTGAAATTTGGATAGAAACCAGGTGATGGCACAGGCATGTAATCGCAGTGCTTTTGTGGGGAGGTGGTGGTGGGAAGGTTAGGAGTTCAAGGGCAACCAGAGTTGCCTCGCAAGTTTGAGATATACTTCAGCCCCTGTCTCAGAAAGCCCTAAACGGAACCAAACACAAATTAATCAGCATCATGAGGGTGGGAGCCAACTTCTGCTGTCAACTATGGGGTGAGGGGCTTATACCATGGCAGGCCCTGTCTTGTAGTACAAGGATGGCAGAGAGTAGGAAAACATTTCCCTAGCAAGTGTGAGCATTGGTTCCCCAGGGTGTGTGTGTGTGTGTGTGTGTGTGTGTGTGTGTGTGTGTGCAGGCCAGAGGTTGATGTTCTGTATCTTCCCCAATTGCTCTCCATCTTATTTTGGGGATAGGGTCTCTCACTAAAGCTACCCATCAGTCCTCAGGGATCCACCTGTCTCTACTTCAGTGCTGCGATTACTTGGCTTTTTTACGTGGATGCTGTGGATCAAACTCAGGTCTTCTTGTTTCTGTGGCAAGCAGTGCCAAATGGCCCATCACCTCAGTACTTCCCCTTAGGACTCTTTCTAATTAAAACATTAATTAAAAACCTTTTACTTATTTGTGTCCTTATTTGTGCTTGTGTGCATGATGTGTGTTTGAGGCAGTGGCACATATGGTGGAGGTCAGAGAACAACTTGTGTGACTTCCCTTTTCCTTCCTCTGTGTGGGTTCCAGGGACCAAACTCTTGTCATGTAGCAAGCGCCCTTACCCACTGTGCTATCTCATCACTCAGCTTTTTAAATTTTTTTTATTTTTTATATTTATTTATTTATTTTGGTGCTTGGTTTTTCGAGATAAGGTTTCTCTGTGTAGCGCTGGCTATCCTGGAACTCACTTTGTAGACCGGTTATTTTCCTATTATTCTAATGCAAACTGCTTCTTTTTAAAGGCTCAAATATCTTTATCCCTTCTCTTTTCTTTCTCTTTCCTTCAAACCACTACCTTTCACCTATCTGTCTTCTTTCTCTCCCCTTCCCTTCCATCCCTTCTGCTCTCCTTACTTCTCTCCTCTCAATTTCTTTTTTCTTTTCTTTTCTTCCTTTTTTTTTTTTTTTTTTTTTTTTTTTTTTTTTTTGTTTTTTTTTTTTTTTTTTTTTTTTTTTTTTTTGGTTTTTCGAGACAGGATTTCTCTGTAGCTTTGGAGCCTGTCCTGGAACTAGCTCTGTAGACCAGGCGGGCCTTGAACTCACAGAGATCCGCCTGCTTCAGCCTCCCAAGTGCTGGGATTAAAGGTGTGTGCCACCACCGGCCCAGCAGGTAGACCAGAATGGCGTTGAACTCACAGAAAAGGTGTCCATCTCTGAGACACCTTTTGCTTAAAAAGCAAGACATAAAAATGGGTGGTGATGGCACATCCCTTTAATCCCAACACTCGGGAGGCAGAGGCAGGTAGATCCCTTGAGTTTGTGTCTACAGAGTTCTAGGATAGCCAGGGCTACCCAGAGAAACCCTGTTTTGAAGAAACAAGCAAACTGGCAAAAGATATTAACGATAAATAAAACTTAGTGGTAGGAGCACTTGCCTAGCATACACTAGTCTTAGGATCAATCCCAAATACTATAAAAATAAACAAATCAACCAAATCTATGAACACAAAATGGCCCTGCTTTGGCCTGTAGATAGCCTCTAAGGTGACTTTTGTGTCCAAATTTCTTTGAGCACCACCTTTTTTACTGGCACCACTAGATATTCTTAGAGTCTTATAATTTCCCTGCCTCAACCTCTAAATCAGGTTTTTGTTTTGTTTTGTTTTTAAGAAAAAAACAAAGATTGTTTTCTTGTAAAGAGTT